CGGGGGTTGGAGCTCGGGCGCTTTGGGAAGGCCTCTCTGAGCCGAGGGACTCGCGGGGCGGCCCTCAAAGAAGTCAGCCTCACGCCGCCCAAAGAGCAGCCCCCCAGGGCTGAGCAGCTGGGTCCCGCGTTCAAGTGAAGTGCGGCCTTACGTGGCCAGAATACGGTCGCAGTACCCCTGGTGCTCGTGCTCCTTAGGCCTACCGTTTCATTAACGTTTGTACAGACTCGTTGTACAGACTTGTACAGCAAATACAGAACGACGCGTGTAAGACATGCCCGGTTGAGGAGGCCACAAAGGCTTCGGGCGGTTACAGAAACCTGGCTAAAGAGGTACATATCAAGTAGCTGGGCACTTGCTTCTGCCATGAGGACAGTTTGTGAAAATCTTGGCCTTTTTGCCGTGGGGCTTTCCTCCCCAGCCTTGGGAGGATAAAACTTTTACTACTGGTAATTTCCTACAAAAGTATTTGTCCTTATGTACATATACTTAGTAGTAGGGATACACTTTCACAGAGTTGCAAAACAATTTATTCCAATAGATTCTGGTAAAAAAACAACAACATGGGAATTGATGAGAAGCATATCTACAGTGACCTCTTTTGTCAGGAAACACTCATCATTGTTAGCTGTCACTGAATAAATAGTGCAGCATTAACATTTCTGCTAAGGTTTCATTGAGTGTGCTGGATCTCAGCAACAGTAGATTTGGGGGAAAGCAGCTGATATTATAAATGATATAGTAAAAGTTTTAAAGTTTTCTTCAAACTATCTTAGGCCGCAGTTTTACTATTTTCAAAAATGATAAGCTTCAACTATTTTTTTAAAAGCTTTGAACATTTGCAAGAAGAACAAAAAGGCAATATATGAATCAGTTTGTTTATTTGTTTATTTATTTATTTATTTGGATTTCTCCCCTGCCATTTATATGGATGTGATGGAAGCAAGAATGGTTTGCAAAGATGGAAGGTATCAAGAGGTATATGGAATGGAGTTGGTGTAAACTAGATTTAGCTATGTTTGCTTTTTTTCTTTTTAATCTCATGGCTTGAATTTCCTTAGCTTACTGTATTTTACTTGTGTTCTGCCCAATGTTACCTACCCCAAAAGAGTAATGTGATGAATACATATGTAGCCTCAAAATTTCATCCAGACTGACCAAACGGCTCTGGTAAACTTTTCTCCATTGTTTTGCTTGTGCAGTTTTTATTCTGTTTCTCTCCTGAGATATATTCCCCTGCATCTTTATCTAGTTCACTAACGAGATTGCTTGTACTGTATTCAGGAACTGGCTCTGGACATAGTCATGTCAGTTTCTGAGATGATCTTGAGAGGAACTTGCCTCCCGTCTATTCTCAGCCCATTCCTGAAAACGTGAAAGGCAGTTTCAGAGGCCAGATTCCACGTAGCTTTTTTTCTTTATAGAGAGACAGTTGTTTTTTTAAGATTCTTTTTTCTCAGGATCCTGAGTCACATCAAGAGTGCTTATTTTCCAAGCTTCTGATCAAAAGTCTTTTAAGTGGGGGGAAAAAAAGAGATTCTGCAGTCAACTTCCCATTGATTTGGTACCTCATAAGATCTAGTAGGATGCGGTGGCGCAGCGGCTTAATGACGCTGAAAGTTGCCGGCCAGAAATGGTCGACACTTCAGCGGTTCGAGCCCAGCTCTGAGCGGCAGAGTGAGCTCCTGTCTCCTCCCCAGCTCCTGCCAACCCAGCAGCTCAAAAACTTCCATGAGTAGATAAATGGGTACTCTCACCCCGGTGGGAGGAAAAACGCCGGCGGCACTTGCACAGGAGACACGAGCAGTTGCCGGTAACACGGAAGCCGCGCACGCCCGAAAAAGGTGCGAAGCAACGGAAACCCCGCCTCCTGCGGTCGCCAGTTGGGCTCTGCTCTCGGAAGGAGGCAATGGCAAACCCCTTCCGAAACACCTTGCCTTGAAAACTGCAGGGACTCGTCCAGGCAGTCGCCACAGAATCTGTCATGACTGAGTGCGGATAAAAATAAATAATAAAAAAAAAAGATCTAGTTTCTTAGTTTCCTAGACATAAATTTAGTTGGCAATTTTTTACATTGGTGTTGTCATGTGGTACAGTGGCCATTTTCCAGGAAGGTGTAAGAGTTTGAGGTAGAGCTAGGCTCTGGTTTTCCTCAACTGTGTGAGTAAAGTGGTTGATTTGTTTTTCCCAATATTGGACCTTTTTTCCTTCATCTGCAAATCAATCAGTTTCATGCTCCGTTGTGCACCAGTTTGTGCTCAGTATCCATGAGCAGGTGCTAAATGGAAGCATCCTTGCATGTTTTCCCAAGCATCTTTGCCTGTGGAAGGGGGCCAACTGTCAATATGGAATCTTTTAGCAATGTGTTTTTCAGAGGCTGTGCTCCATAGCTTGGCACAGCCTGTGGAAAAATGTCAGCCTTGCATAAGAAGGCCTCCACCTCTACAACCCAGTTGCCCTTCCACCTGACTGCTGGCCAAGGAGCTCTTATTATTTCCAGTTGTTCACCTGGCAGTGTACTCTGTTATGCCTGACTATTGTATTTTGTTTGAACATTTGCCCTTTCTTGTAAACAAGAAGAGTGGTGGGAGATGTTCCAGCTTGTCTTTTCAAGAGGTAGGGTTTTACTTCAGTTAATCATACTTTTTGTAATCCACCCATTCTGAAAATGCTTACAATTTTAATGGCATTCATCTTCTCAGCACATGGTGGATACCAAGTTACAGGGCTGGGCCATCTGGCTCAGTAATGTCTTTGGTGACTTGCCATTGAGTTTCTAGCAGCTCTACTCAGAGGGCGGGCACCTTTTGCATGTGAAGAAGGGCTCTCTTACAGAGTCTCAGTTTTCAATTGTAGATTGTAAGAAAGCCAGTTACTGTAAAGGCTCCCATATCACTTTTTTTTTATACAGGAACAATCGCGGGAAGCTGGTCCGACCACTTGAGTTCCAGTCCACAGTGGCACCAGGCACCATCGCACGAGTGGAGCCCAATATTAAATGGTTTGGTAAGCTTGCTGTGACTGGGGCAGTTTGGGGGGTTTTGCACCTGGGTTTGATTAACCCAAAAGCTGAATTGGAGACAGGGAGATGGCTGCTGATATAAAGCGCCATCCTGTGTTGCTTCCTGCATCGTATCAGTCCAAACTACACCAGGCATCCAAGTCAGAAAATTGGAACATGCTCTTTATGCAGGAAACACACGTGTGATCAAACAGTCCTCTCTCCAGAGGTTCCAAGAGGAGATGAAGACGGTGATGAAGGATCCGTATCGAGTGGTCATGAAACAAAGCAGATTGCCTCTTTCTCTCCTCCATGACCGAATTAAACCTCATGTGAGTGGTACGCTTGTCCTGTTGGCCCGAGTGTTGTCTCTGGGTGTGGGTGGGTGTTGGACTCTGGGGAAGACTCTGGAACAGCATTCTCTCTCTCTCTCTTTCTCTCTGCCCCCCACTCCCCTTCCCTCCTTCCCCGTATTGCATGTATCTCACAGGATTAGAAACCATCTCCCAATTACAGAATATAAGAGTGTAATAGAAAAGCCTAATAGAGGTGTATCATTTACGTTTACAGTCATGTTCTTCCTTGTTCACATTTGCTCACATTGTTATCTATAGCCTGAGAGAGAACAAGAAGTAGGTTTTTAAGGCTTTGCTTAAAAGGTGATTTAGCATAATAGGCCAGCCAAGAGGAGGTTTGCATGCCTGATTAGGTGTTCTCCCAACTCATGTGTTTGTTACATGAAGTGATAGCTTGTAATGACTCTTCAGATGATTCATCAGCATGGGCAACTTCAAGGCTGTTCTGGAAAGAGGAGAGGAAGAATGAAATGGGATACGCTCACACTTAAAACATATACAATGTGGCATGACTGTTCTACCTTTTCTCTGCCAGAAGGTACCCAGCAAAATTCTGGTCCCAAATTGCCTGTATTGGGAAAAGACTTGCCTGTACAAAACGATGCTTTTCCGTGGCAGAGAGTCCCCAGCGGGACGGTGGTGCCAGCAGCCTTCAAGCTACTGAAGCTTGAAGCTGAGGTCTACCTGTCAGTTTGCCAGATACAAATGCAGCTGGGCTTTCATCTCAAGTCAAAAATGTTTTTTGTTCTGGCTTGAGAGCCATGTTTCTTTTTTTTTTTTTCCCATGCGTATCTTGAACTCTCACTGAACAACTTTGTTTTTTCAGGAGTTTCCATATGTCTCTAATAAAATGAAAACATTCTAAATTAAGACTAAGGTCCTCTACAGTTCAAGCACACATCACTCCATTAGCAGTTCTTGCTAGCTAGAGAAGACTTGGTTCCAAAGAAGGAGCTGGCATTTGCAGCTGGCCTTCCCAAAACAGAAATTAATCTGTGAGACAGATTATCCCTGACAAATCTGAATTTTGGCAGAATGAAAGCTCTGTGGTTGAAACAAAGCAGTCAGCAAACAACAGTTATATTTCCATCCTTGTAAATTCAATAGTAGTGGACGGGATGAATACCAAGCCAAGAAGAGTAGCTTGACCCTCTGGTTGGCACAGCCTGCTTTGGGTCAGGAGTTGCATCGCTGCACCCCTGTAGCTCTTCTCTGTGGAAAGCTCAGATGGGGGCAGTCTTTTGTGGGGCCCAGCTGAGCTTGAGCATCTTGTTTTGAGTCAGGATGAAGTAGTTGTGGCCTTTTTCTTCTTTTAGAATTCCAAAGTCCACATTCTTGATACAGAAACCTTTGAAACCACATTTGGTCCAAAATCACAGCGGAAACGGCCAAATCTTCTGGCAAGTGACATGCAGTCTCTGGTGGCGAGTGCCATAGCTGAGGCCAGCAACTACAGCCAAGATAAAGACCGGGATCTGGTGACAGAAGATACTGGAGTAAGGTATACTGTTGGAACTGGCACCTAGAAATATGGTTTGGCAGGGAAGGGGATGCTTTTTGTCCTGAAGTTGGAGTGTTGCTAGGTACTCTCATGAGATTTCAGCTGGCTCAGTCCTTCCCTCAACCAGTGTCTTCCACCGGTATCACTAATCACTAACTGCCACAGCTACATTTAGTTATTGGGAATTATTTTTTTTTTAATAAATTTTTTATTTTTTACAACAAACACAAACAAACAATAACATAA